CAAGTATTTTACAAACGTATAAATATCCAAATCTTGTACAAATATTGTTAGTTTTTTTTCGTGCAATAGTATCTAATGGATATTTAGTACGATTTCGTGTAATTTGATCAGTTATAGAGAGAGCATGTATATAAAAAAAAAAGTAGAATTTAATAAAGTATTTTATTCGAAAAGTGCCCGAGCGATTTAAATGCAAATCTAGATCCATCCAAATCTTGCAACAAACGTATAAATATCGTTAGCTTTCTTTAGTGCAATAGTATGTAATGAATCGTGGATATTTTGTACGATTTCGTGTAATTTGATCAGTTCATAAAGAGCATGTATATAAAAAAAAAAGTAGAATTTAATCAAGTATTTTACTCGAAAAGTGCCTGAGTGATTTAAATGCAAATCTAGATCCATCCAAATCTTGCAACAAACGTATAAATATCGTTAGCTTTCTTTAGTGCAATAGTATCTAACGAATCGTGGATATTTTGTACGAACGGAGTTCGAATAAAAATCTGCTTTATTCCTCGGATCGTATCGGTGTACGGGCGAGTCTCTCAATGGCGATCGTCGGTTTTTTCTATCTTTGGAAAAATAAGAATTCGTTCGCCAACATCGAGCGACCTAAAAAAAAAGGAACCTGATTATGATCTAATTAAACATTTCACTTAACCCGACTCTGAACCCCTTCTTAAATCCGAATATAACAATACGAGTTTAACTCACTTTCGATACCTTTCGTATCTCTTCGTACATCATCAAATTTTATATAGCGATCTTTCTACACTCTCGAATTATCGAATATTAATTCTGCGCTCGAACGATGATTCTCAGCCATCTTGGATCGATGCGGTAATTCGAACGGCGACAATATTTATTTACGTTTGATTTTTTTAGAATATAGTGAATAGATTCCTTTCTTTACGTATAATCTTACGAAATGTAGAATAACATACTATAATAGCTAGATTTTCTTATCTCAAACTAAATCTGCATCTTCAGTATTAATCCGAGTTTGACAATAGGAATATTATTCTCGAAGTTTTTGAGTTTTGTAAGCACGAAATATGATAGTTTCTCCTTAAAATAACGAAATTGCTTCTACAAACAGACGATTGAGAGAAGGAAAGCAGCGATGTAAATGAATGAGAAAAGGCGAAAAATGATGCATCTTGCCGACCGCTTTATAAAACATCCCAACGAAACATTTAATTCGTTCCAACAAATTTTTCTTTATACGTAAAATATGGAGATATAAAATATTTTACACGTTAATTACACGTATATGTGTGAAATTTGAAGAAGTTGATCGAACGCGAAAAATTTTCTTCCGATTAAACCGTGGATAGATCTCGTTGAGGATATCCACGCGGTGCGTTAATTCTCTCCAACGTTTTCTTCAACGTTGCCACCCATCCGTTTCGTTTAACATTCTGAGCGGTGGCCAGCGTTGGAATCCTCGCATCGCGATTCCTCGCCACGCGCATGCGCAACGCGTGGCGCAGCTACGACGCACAATCGAGCTCTGGATCGAGGAATTCGAAATACTCGACGAGTTGCGGCAGACAATTCCAGACCAATTTTCACCAGGGACGAAATAAGGGATCGAACGTATATTTCATTGCGTCCAGATTTCCAAATTTACACCGCTTTTCTTTGCTTCATCTTGATCGAATTGAATCGTTCGATTGGACGACTTTTCTCCTTTTCTTTCGATCGAATGCTAACCTTCCAAATAGCATTATTTTTACAAAGCTGTTGAAATTATTATTATTGGTCTTTATTTATGCTGATTATTCTTTTTTGAATATTTGCCCATAATACCTTTAGCTAAATAGGCAAAGTATAAATGTAAAAAAATATATTTTTTTGGATAGGTTTTGAAAATATCTTGAAAAATTCAGATGTTCACTTTAAGAAAATAAATTTTTGCTAAAC